CTCCATTCGAACCCAGCTTTCCTCGGTACGCTCGGTAGTGAACTTGACTCGTTACCTCTCTGAAGATGAATCAGCGGATACGGAGTTCCAGTTAACGCTACCTGTCCAGCGTCTCCATAGGATGGCTGTGACTCGTCCGAAGTAGTGACGATATCCCGTCTGACACAAGTTCACCTCAGCCAGTGGACCTCACATGAGTGGGGTTCGTCCGAGTTCCACTCAGAGGGAATATATGTTATAATCCCAATCTCGGAAGAGCCTTATCATGGCTGGACTTCTGTTCTCCCAAACGACTGGAGCTGCAAACTCTCCAGCCCGACTCCAATGGCAACTCACAGAACTGAAACTTCACAGAACTGCCGCTTCACAGAACTGAGAGAACTAGGAAGTACCGACATTTTAAAGGGCTCTATTTCCGGTTCATTTGGGAGTCCCTGATTGGTCAATGTCGACCAGACAGGGGTGTGTTTTGTGACGTAAAAGGTTACTAGAAGTCAGAAAACAGCAAGAATGTTATAGAACAGATTGAAATTCATTTTCAGACAGGCGAGAGAAATGTTTGGGCGAGTTTGGAGAAACAGGTGCCAACTTCTCTGTTTACGTCTGAGAGGATTTAAAAACAAGACAGTTGTTCCAACACTTGTCTGCTTCGACTCCGACCTTAGAGCAAACGTACACTGCTCATTCAAAGACAGGAAATCAGAAAATGCATAATTACTCTGTAACAGGCCTTAACATGAATTCTAACTTTGCATGAGGATTAAAAATCATTGTTACTGTTTTTCACAGTTTAATAAAAATTGATTAGTTCACTGTAACATCTAAAATGTTTGAACTAAAACACTTTGATTATCAAACATTTGTAAAACAGTAATGATAATAGAAAAGAGAGTGTTCTTTCACTTGAATTTTCAAGAAAGAAAGTCTCAGGATGGGTGAACCTGTATTTCTGGATTCAAATCAATGAAATGACAGTTTCTGTCCCACAAGGTGCCTAAGGTCAAGGTTTCGACATCAGGCCTAGTCCACTACAGTCTCGTTTGTCTCTATGTTTCCCTGTGATGGACTTGCGACCCACCCGTCCAGGGTGTACCCCGCCCCTCGCACAGTGATTGCTGGACATGGGCACCGGCGACCCCCAAAATAGAACAAGCGGGTAAAGATAATGGATGGATGGATGAAAAGCAACATGTCATCATTTAATTCTTGTCACCATTACAAATAAGTTTCAGGCTCAGGATTTTTTTTTTACATTAAGCCCTGGTTAGCAGGTAGTAGGTAGATTTAAACACAGTTTTAGACTCTGAATGCCATTAGCTTTGTGTGTTGGAGGTTAGCTGGTAGATTTAATTAGGATCAGTGTTGAGCTTTGTACACAACATAAAGATTTTTCAGAGCAGTAACTAGTAACTAGCAGTAACCACGGTGTGTCTGTTCTCAGCTGCAGAAAACCAGTGCAGCTTTTGTTGGTCAGCAGCAAAACCAATAGAACCTGTCAGGAGTTATTTCAAACTGCTAGCATCAGATCAATCTTTCACCTAATACACTGGAAATGCACCTGTTCTTTGCATTAAACAAATCCTGCTGTGGAGTTTAGTACCGAGGCAGAACAACACAACAAGTTGTTTACAGACAATACACAGTCTATGATCAGCATGCTCAGGATCAGTCCATCACCTGCACCTGCACCTGCACAGTTGAGGTTCAGGACTGTGTCTAGGATCAGGACATGTGTCACTTAGTTCTGCTGCTACTTTCTTATTTTAACAGAGGATGTGGGCATAGTCTAACAGTGTTCTTTGGTGAGGTAAACCATGAAGAAGAAACCACCACACACCTTGTAGAAAACATTTAGTCTAACTGTTAAATCCTCAGTGATGTAACACACGCGACAGGAAGACTTACGGCAGAAGGTGTTGTTCCTCCAGAAGACAGGAACTCCTGCAGTAGCACACATGTCAGCATAGCTCTCGATGGCCTGGCACAGAGCCACGGTCTGACCTCCGGTGGCACACATGTCATACACACAGTTTTCAAAGTACGACTCCGGGGGGATGACAGAGTGGCATGACCTAAAGATCCCTGAGGACCAAATCAGACACAGAGACTACTCAAGGATCTGTAAGCAGAGGTTTTTAAATATCTAAATTTTTGGTGTTACACAGAGCCTAATGTGGTCATGAGAGTCTCACCCTTGGGATCGGTGATAAGTCCACAGCTGGTGGGCTTCTTGGCCTCCTCTTCCACCTGCGGGTCACACTCCTCCTGTCCTCCTCCATTGGTGCAACTGAAACAAAGTATGTTAGCAGTGTCTGACCATCAGGAAGTTTCAGACCGGTATATGGGTGGCTGTGGCTGAGTGGTTTGAGCAGTCGTCCTCCAATGTGTAGGGGAACACCACCTCAACTTAAACAGATATCATTCATGTGTTTTGTGTTTTAAACTGTTAAAATAAGATGCATTTATTCCCTTGGGAACAAACAGACTTTATTTTACAGGGGTTCAACTCAGCTTTGTCAAAGTGTTGGCCACTTTCAATGTGAACTCATTTCCCACGAAACGGACAGATCGTCTTAAAGAGAGCTTGTGGTTCAACGACCTTGAAGTGAAACATCTGCTGAGATGAACTGTTATCAACAAAAAAAGGAGTGTTACTCCCAGAATGGTTTCCCATACAGATTAACACATAAAACGGGCCTTTGTTTTAAATGACGTTCTCTTTCAGGAGATGAACAGCAACACCTTGTGGATGAACATTGCATGTTATCCTGATGCATGCTCAATAATCCAGGTAGAAAAATCCAAAAAAGTTCAATCTGGTCCTCTGGACATTCAAAAAAAACAAAAAACAAAACAAAGCAAAAAAATATAGAAACGTTTCGTCTCTCATCCAAGAGACTTCCTCAGTCTGAGGTGCTGTTTTCAGCTCAGTCTCTTAAATATCCTGATTTTGATGATTTTGAACCAGAAAGACTATCATGAGAAAGTTATGACACTCCTTACTGACTTAACCACTTATGAACCTCTGAAAAGAGATCCAGGAAGTGGTTACAAGAAGAAGTTAATAGATTGCCTGAAAAATTTGGAGCAGGACAAGGCTATTGACCGTATTCTGTACCACAGACTGTACCCAGGGGAGGCCACACCTAGTCTGTATGGTTTACCTAAAATCCACAAACAAGGTGTACCTTTAAGACCTATTGTTAGCATGATTAACTCTGTCACTTACAATGTTTCCAAATATCTGGCATCTGTACTCATCCCTTTAGTTGGCAGCTCAGAACACCACATATAGAACACCATGGACTTTCTGGATAAGGTGAGGGATGTCATCATGGAGACTGATGAAACAATGGTCTCTTTTGATGTCACATCACTCTTTACGTGCATTCCTGTTGATGATGCAGTAGAGGTGGTCAGTTTAAGATTAAAATCAGACACCACTCTGAGCAGCAGGACCACGCTTTCCACAGAACAACTGTGTCAACTCTTGAAACTGTGCCTGCAGTCAACCTACTTCACATATGGGGAGCAATATTATAGGCAGAAACATGGGTGTGCTATGGGGTCTCCAGTTTCTCCTATTGTTGCCAACCTGTACATGGAGGAGGTAGAAAAGAGAGCCTTGATGTCCTTTTCAGGGACACCACCAAGTCATTGGTTCAGGTATGTTGACGACACCTGGGTTAAAATTAAATCTCAGAAAGTCCAACATTTTACTGACCACATCAACTCTGTGGATAAATACATCAAGTTCACACGAGAAGATGTAAAAAATGGCAAGTTGGCTTTCTTGGACTGTGAGGTCTCAGTCTCTGATAGAGGACATTTGCAAACCGAGGTGTACCGCAAACCCACCCACACAAACCAGTATTTGCAGTTTGACTCCCATCACCCTTTGGAGCACAAGTTAGGAGTCATCAGGACTCTGTATCACAGAGTAGACAGCATCCCCACTAACTCGGGAGCCAGGCAGAAGGAGAAATCCAACACAAAACAGGCTCTAGAGCAATGTGGATATCCTAACTGGGCCTTCCTGAAAGCAGAGAAGAAACCCAAACAGGACTCCAGTCAGCCATCAGGTGAAAAGGAGGAACCCAGACCCAGACCAGTGGTCATTCTGTATGTTGAGGGAGTATCAGAGAAACTGAGACGTTTATTTTCTAAACATAACGTCCCAGTGGCTTTTAAACCCCAAAATACATTACGGCAAAGACTGGTTCATCCCAAAGATCCAGTCCCCTGGCACAAACAGAGTAATGTTGTGTATGCTGTTCAGTGTCAGGAGGGCTGTGATCAGTCTTACATCGGGGAAACTAAACAGCCACTGGCCAAAAGGATGGCCCAGCACAGAAGATCAACATCATCAGGCCAGGATTCTGTGGTCTACACTCATCTCCAGGCCAGCGGTCACTCTTTCAGGGATGAAGATGTTCACATCCTGGATAGAGAGGAACGATGGTTTGAGAGAAGAGTAAAGGAGGCCATCTTTGTGAAAAGAAATTGTCCATCATTAAACAGGGGTGGAGGCCTCCGGGTTCAACTGTCCCCCTCTTACAATGCTGTGATTGCTAGTATCACTCAGCCCTCTGTGAATAGTAAACAGCCATCAGTGTGCTATTGATCCATTGTTAGGCTTATGGTCCTTCTTGAGCATGTGATCAGCTTGTTTTGGTTGTCAGCAGCAAAACTGGTTGATCCACTCTGAGTAGGTGCTATTTACGAGACTGAGATGAAAACAGCACCTCAGTCTGAGGAAGTCTCTTGGATGAGAGACGGAACGTTTCTATATTTTTTTGCTTTGTTTTCTTTTTTTTTTTTTTTTTTTTGAATGTCCAGAGGACCAGATTGAACTTTTTTGGAACATTGCATGTTATTTCCACAGCTTCAGAACTGAATGTTTGTTATTGAAAATGTCTGTTTAAAGTAACCTCTCTTTAAGATAATCATGTTTATTTTTCTCCTTTTAAAAGAAGTGTGACTTTTTTAAAGGCAGACAGAGAAAATGGACCATGATTTTTATAAAACATGACACAGAGTTATGAACCATCCCTCTTCTGAGGGGTGGATCCTAAGTCAATCTGTAACACACAGACAGACAGTTAACTTTCACTTCACTTCTACCCCACTTCTTCAACCACTTCACCGCTCTTTCTACATCAAGCAACTTCAACTTCCTCCTAGTGAGATGTACTGGGAAGAAGCTTTTCTGCAAACGTCTCAGGATGAGAGAACCTGGCATTAACCTGAGATCTGAACCAGAACATCACACTGCAGAGTGGTAAATCCCAGCTGACTTCAAAGAGCCAGGGGTCGGACCGTAGTCCCTCCAACGATGATAGGTGAACTTTGAGGATAAATCCTCCTCTTAGTCACTGTAGCATCTCAAGCCTCGCTGGCATCATTCATAAGCAGTTGTGGACATTCTGACAGCTTATTCTGGTGAGAGAGACCCTTCAACGCACTTTTCTGGTGATCATACATTCACAATAATATTAATTTAGATATGTAGATGAACAGATGCTGATATATTCATCAATTAAAACGGGTTCACTCATCTTTCTGGACTGGATAAAACGTGCATTGAATTTAATGAAATGTAACGTGAGACGTCATTTTTCTTTGACCCATCAAAATGAATGCGGTCATTTATTTTACAGAATCAAAGTTTAACATCAAACATTTACATTAATTTGGCAAAATATGAAAACAACAACAACATAATTAATCAGCTTACAACCAGGAAAACCATACGGCCATGATTTTCCGTTGTTTCACCACAGACATTAATGAAAACATCTGGATTAATTTTCTAGCAGAAAGGAGAGTTTAAAGATGGAAAATTGAGATTTATCTTACAGATAGATGTGTGAGGGAATTTGTTTGTTTTAACCAGAACGTGCACGCTCCTTCGGAACTCAGCTCGTCCCAAACAGTACACTTTTGGTGAAGGTCGACTTTTACCTTTTCTGAAGATAGATCAGTTCCGGCGTGGAGTCTCACTTCCAACCACTGTTCAACGTCTCAGTGAGAACAGCCAAATACCTCGAGAGCCATGCGAGGTTATCCAAACAGAAGTTATAATTCCCAAAATCGTCTCTGGTTCAGCTTGTTTGGTTTAGCAGCATCCATGAATGCCTGCGTTTGCATTCACGAACTCCCAAACTCTCTGCATTCTGGATTCCAAAACTCTTGAACTCTACTGTTGAACTGGGAAGTTGCCACATTTAAACGGGCTATACTTCCGGTTCATTTGAGAGCTTTTTGATTGGTGGATGGACCAGAACAGAGGTGTGGTTTGTGATGTAAGGTGTTATGGAAAATCAAGGATAGAGATTAAGATTGTTTAAGAACAGACAGAAAGATTGTTGGCGAAAACCAGTCTTTGTGGAGCCACCTCTCCTGTATCTTGCTGTAAAAGTTAAACATGACATTTCTTTTCAGTAAACTTTCTAGTTGACCGAAGCTTGAACTTTAACACACTTACAACTTTGCTCATTGAAGACAGAAAAATCAAGAAATTGAATCATTACTCTCTAACGTTCTCTAACTTGATTTCACTTTGAATTGAGGACTAAAAATCATTACTACTGTTTAAGTAAATAAAAATGAGTAGTTCACTTCAACATGTAAACATTGTTTGAACTAACACAATTTGATTATCAAACATTTGTAAAATAGTAATGATCATAGAGAATTGTCTTTTCCACTTGATTAATTCAAGAAAGAAAGTCTCAGGATCGATCAACCTGTATTTCTGGATGCAGATCAATGAAATGACAGTTTCTGACCATATGATCCTAAGGTCATTGATTTGACATCAGGTCAAGTTCACTACAGATACACCACAGTTAATTTAGACACAATTTTAACTACACCACAGACAAACCAGTCCAAAACTCTGCCTTTAAATAAAAGTTATACTGAATTAATAATCAAGTAGACCTTTGATACAAAGCTATTTTGTTATTAATTTGTGTATTCATTTTTATGCATTATCGTCATCAGATATATCACAGATTATTATTTTTATAATAAAATACATAAAATCCACTAAACTTGTGATTATTTTGGCATATCTGTGTGTATTAACTGATTTTGAATGCCCTTTAAACACGAGAAAATAATTCACGTTTCAGTTTACATTTAATTTGGGGGTTAGAGACTGATTTTTCCTCTGAAAAGAGGTGGTGCCCACAACGAGGTTATTTGCATAATAAATGCATATCTTATGAGCTTAACTCATAACTGATAATTTA